ACGTCTCGGGCACCCCTCCCGTACCCCGGGGGGTCTCCAGGCCCCCAATCACATACTCGGCCATCTCAGTGAGATCCCAAGTATGGTCGGGTGATCCTTCTGCAGCTTCACTTTCAGGATTTCAAGGCCGCTTAAAATGGCATTGGCGCACATTCCCTTGCCAGCTTCAGACTCCTCGAAGTTGTCCAAGGAACGCCGCAAGTCAGAAATTTCTTCCCGTGCTGCTTTCAAGGATTTCTTGGTCTCCCTGTGGGCGTCCTTCAACATCTTCTTCTCCTCTTTGAGGATGTCAATCTCGCTGGCTTGGGCGCCTGCCTCCTGTGCCAGCGCCTCCTTTTCAGCTTGCAGTTCAGCCAGTTTTTTGCGCTCCTCATCCAGGGCGCCCTGAAGCCGCTACACCTCCATTGCCGCATTCATCTGGGCATCCTCACACTCCTTCGCAAACTGCTCGCGGCGTGCAGTTGCGTTTTCCAGATCCAACTTCATCTGGGAAGCAGAAGAGGAGGCCTCGAGCGCCTCTCGTTTTGTCTCATTGAGGCGACGGGCGCCTCTCTCGGCAAAGAGGAGAATCTACATGATTTAAATAAGAAGATTCAGCAAATGGTACAGGTAATAGAGCGTTCCCTCAATCACAAGAAAACACAAGTAGAAAAGCATATACCTTGGCGCCCACTTGGGCCAATTCAGCGAAGAGGTGATCCCCGTTCACCTCGGACCGAACCTGCCATGACTTGGCGGCCGCAATCGCCAAGCCCATGGCGCAACCTCGGTCGACGGCAACCAAGGGAGAACAGGGCAGGTTGATGCGCCCAACATCGGTGCGGCGTGGCCGGAAGATGGGAGGACGCCCATCGGGGCCAACATAGCGCCCCTCTTCATTGAGGTGATAACGGGCGTCCCCCTCCTCCCCCTCCTCCTCATCCTCCGCCTCCTCGGCGGCAGCAGCAGCGGCGCCCATTTTTCCCTTGCCTTTGTCGGCCCTCTTGCTGGCAGAGGCTAAGGGAGAACCAGACCTCTTCCCCCAACGGAGCAGAGGCTCCTCTTCTTCTTCAGCGGAGTTAGCTTCTTGCTCCACGGGATCGGAGTTAGGCGCCCCCTCGCCTTCCTCCGGAGCGGAAGACGCCACGCTGGCAGTCTTCGCGCGTAGGGTGCCTCCCTTCACTGCCCTCTTTTTCTTCTTCTTGGGGGGAGCAGTGGGCGCCTGTGATTGGTTGGCGGCCGGTTCGGGCGCCCCTTGTTGAACCGGCGGCGGCGAACCGGCCGCCATCGCAGCAAGCCGACTTTTCATCAGCTTGGCGATACTGGAGTAATCCGACCCTGCACAATGGCGAACATAGTTAATTAAAGCACAAAGAAAGCACAACACAAAGAACACATAACACCTAGACGCCTACAGACCATCATTGTAATACGCCTGAATAATGGGAGGACGGTTCTCCGCAGGACGCAAGTCCACACGCTCCTCCGCACAGATCAAGCGGGCGCCTTCTTTCTCTGCTTGGGACAGCACCACGGGCGAGTTGAATTCCTCAACATGGCCCAACTCCCACTGCCTGAGGAAGGCGCCCCCACTCTCAAAAAACGAGTCCCGATACGCCTTCATAAAGAAGAAGCCGTTGAACCATTTACGGTTGAGTTTGGGACATCGTGACACGAAATGGTATGGGCGCTTCTTCCGCTTCTGAAGTGATAAACAGTTGTCGATGGGCGCCATCTTAAAAAAGTATCTAAATAAGTTGAAGGTGGGCTCCCCGTTGCACTCCCGACACCTCAACTTAAATAAGATGACAATCGTAATTACTGAGGGAGAGAGGCGCCCCAATGAACAACCACACGTATTTAGAATCCCCTCCATAATATGGTCGAGGGGGAAGCGCAGCCCGAATCGGAAGTACTCCTGGTACACTCCGATCCACTTGGGCCCGCAGACGCCCACTCGCGAAATTGGTGACGGAGGCGCATACCACCAGACGCCCACTCGCGAAATTGGTGACGGAGGCGCATACCACCAGTCGAAGGGCGAATGAGCCGTCTCCACTGGTAGATGATCCGGGGGAAAACACTTCTCCCAGGTGGTAATCTTGTACGACCCATCCGCAGGCAGAAAACCGGGCGCCGAGGTGCTTGATGGTCCAGCCGATGTCGAAGCAGGCGCCCCCTCTAAACCAACAAACGACCCAGACGCAACGTGGACGCGGGGTAAGTGACGCCCTGCCCTAAATAACTAGAACGAATGCAGCACAACCAACGAAAGAAAGAAGATTCCTTACCACGTTGGGTTGGACGACTTGCCTCGCCGCCCGCTCACGAGGCGCCCGCACCAGTCGCGTCGCCGCCCGAGGCGCCTTGGCCGGAAGTCTTGTCTTGTTGTGCAGACATATTCGAAGGACAAAGCAAAAAGGGACGGTTGATGCAGAGACTGACAAGAGAGAGGTCAGAGCAGACTCTAGAGTGAAGTCAGAGGAAAATCTTAGAGAGAGAGTGAATGGCTGAAAGTGACAAGAACTAAAGGGGAGGGGGTATTTAAAGGAAGCGAAGGTCCACGACAGGACCCGCGCCGACGTGCCACGTGTCCATATCACGGGCGGACTTTTGAGCTTCCCCCACCTTTCCCTTTCTTGAAATTTTCGAAATTTACAATTCGAATTTTCTAAATTCCAAATTCGAAATTTCGAATTTTGCCGCCAAGCCAAAAGTGGGACTCACATCAAAATTCCCCCCGTGAGGGGGGCATAAGGGCTTGGGACGCCCGCACGGAGAACGCCATTAAGAGGCGCCCGAGAGCCACAAACGAAGAGGCGCCCTCGGAACACCAAAAAAGAAACACATATTGCAAGGAGCATCAGCAACGACGGGACGCCCGCCAGCGAAAGGGGATTGGCAAGTGTGCCCCGAACCATGAAGGAAGTAAAAATACAACATAGGGCGCCGAGAAGCATGCGTCCCATAACGAAGAGGACGCTAGACCGCAGTAGGAGAATCAGTCAGGCGCTCAAAGGCGAAGCCATGAGCACCTAACTGGGGGGGGCAATTGTTGGGGGTATTACCCAGCAATTAGGAGTTCGGGCCCCCAAAGAGAAGAATTGGGGGGCAAGGCCCAAAAAGGGCTCCACTAGAAACCCTTAGGCCCAAGCAAGGGGAAGAGCCCCAAAAGAATAAAACACTAAAAGCCAAAATGAGACCAGCTGTCAGGTAGTCCTCTGCCTAACTGGGGGGGCAATTGTTGGGGTATTACCCAGCAATTAGGAGTTCGGGCCCCCAAAGAGAAGAATTGGGGGGCAAGGCCCAAAAAGGGCTCCACTAGAAACCCTTAGGCCCAAGCAAGGGGAAGAGCCCCAAAAGAATAAAACACTAAAAGCCAAAATGAGACCAGCTGTCAGGTGGTCCTCTGCCTACGGGCGCCTGTCGTGCGTCAGAGGCCTGACAAGGCTGTTGGGTGTCTGACAAAGAGGGCACAGAGCATTAAATTAGGACAGTGGCGTGGAGGAGATCAACCTCGAGTTCGGTGAGTATAAATAGGGGCAGTTGGTAGCATTATGGGGGGTTGGACTCTCTCACCAAATTTACTACGTGAGAACACTTCTCTCTCCAAGGGAACTAACTTGGGCGTCGGAGGATTAACGGGCCCAGGCGCCCTCCTCTTTGTGTGTGCAGGCAGGCGCCGGGAGAAGGGAGGTTCCTGCTGTACAGGCGGGTATCGTGGCTCAAACAGTATCCCACAAAATTCCCATAACTCCAACCGAAACTTTAACTTGTAAAACCAAACAAATTCCAAACGTTAATAAATAACAAAACAACCGGAAAACGTTTGGAGTGTCTGCCTCCGATCATGACAACCCGAAAAGAAATCGAAAAACCGAATGCCTGGACAGGGACAAGGAAAAGCCCGGCGACAAAATAATATAATAACCAAACAATCACATAAGCATGATCAAAAGTATCATGCAACGAGCATAATAGGGATACAACTAATTAAATATTTTTCCAAAACTGCAATTGGGTTTCTATTGATCAATAGCAGGAATACTGATTCATTCTCCGACTAGAAGCATGAAGAAAAAAATCCAAAAAAATGAAACCAGCAGGAGAACATAATCATGCGTATATCATATTCAAGTAAACCCCAATAATCTAACCATTATGAAAAGTTCTGATACCACTTGATAGATATAACACAATAGCATAAATAATTTTCCGAATATCACTTGTAGAATATAAACAAAATCTATTCGAGCAATTCACTAGATCATCATAATGCTAGATTATCAAAGGTTAGTAGGAGATACCTGGATTCATGATGACCGTCTAAAGCTAGATGCGGAAATGATGACGATCAATCTCCGGACGATGTCTCTTAGTGCACGACCCGGGAGGTTACGCAGCCTTCCTCAACCAAGCTCCCTCAAACCCACTCTCAGGCAATCTCACGCATTCCGATGGGGAGAATGTGTGTGTGTGTTAAACTTGGTATATTGGGGACTACAACCTCAACTTCCTTATATATAAGTCACACCATGGCTCCCATAACACCATATGTGGACTTATATGTGGGTTTCCACCCATTGAACCCACATTGGGTTCAAGTAGTCATGGGATCAAATGAATGGACCACTTTATTTAGCCCATCAAATCAAATAACAAATATAGTGTGTTCTAAAATTAGTGGCCCACTTAGGTTAGGAAATGAATTTTCTAACAGATAAATGATTCAGAAAACTATTCGGATGTGACATGATCGCTCTAGTATAGTAGTATATGGTAAGTTTTCGTTTTAAGCGAAACGTAGCTCCTTGAGGCTTGAGGGCTGAAGCCGGTTCCTTCCAACTAATAAAACGAACTACATGGATCGACATTGGAGGATTAGCAAGTTTTTCTAAGTTGTGAGAAGGTTTTTTTTTTTGTACATAATTAATTTGGATGATGTATCTTAATTAGACTACTAGGAAAGCCCGCTCGCTTCGCTTCGCGTTAAGAGAAGAAATAAACATGAAATAATAATTATGCCAAACATTCTGTGACCTGCCCATGAAAAAAATGTGGGTTTTCAAGGGCAATTTAAAGTTTGCTTACCGCAAACATAGTCTTATTAGTTACATTCTCAACAATATACCTATGGTGAATTTCATTAGAAGTAGTTTCACCCAACTGACATGGTGAGGAATCGGTGGAATGTCAATAGAAGAATTATGTCAATTAGAGTTGTGGTAGTTTATATATAGTTCCGTGAATCACGAAATGACAGCAACACTTGTATATCTATAAGATCTGTACTTTTGTACAATGGCACTCTTTGCTTCATGATAACTGTAGTTAACTCTTTTTTTTTGTTCTTTCATACCCAACCCTTTGAGTTGAGGGAGCTTCAACTTCTACTGCTGTCTTTCACTATCAATCTGTTATTTTTTTTTTTTTTTTGGAGATGAAAGATCACCTCCTGGTTCTGCAACAACCTACAAGTGCCATGAAGTTTCACTTTAGCTAATAGGTAATAGCCTACTACAATATCCAATTCCTCATTACCAATATATGAGGTGATGTTGAGAAGACATTATATACATGAAGTGACAAAGTTCAACATTCACTGTGTGGAAACTGGTTGAAGATGGCATCACTAACCTTGGGGCGAGCTCCATTGCTTTTATTTTCCAAGGCATATCCTACTGGAAAACATAGTAGAGATGTAAGGTAAAAAAAAAATTTGAAAGGCATTTTAAGTTGCAAATCTAGGAGTTCAGAAGGTTCAGAATGAATCCAATAAATTTAAATCACCATTGATGGGAAGTACCTGATAAAGAAGAGGAAGTCCAACACATTAGTCGAATGCTTGCAGAATGAGCTATATGAAAGGTATACACCAAGAACTACCTTCAGGCGATTAATCTGCAAACAAAAGCAAAAGAATACCATCTCTTGTCAACTGCAAAATCCACGACCCCATAACAATACGTGAATTAGTATAAATAGGTCCCATCCTGTCATTTAGCAAAGAGGAAATAAACAATCAAGTGCTTCCTTAACTGATATGAATTCTGGTTAGAACTCCTTTAACAATCTCTTGTCTTCCCCAACACTATGATATTTAAGATGAAAACTTTATATCAAAGTCCTATAGAGCTTTATCCACCAGTTGCATGATGATTTTTTGTTTTGTTTCATAGCATAGGAAAAATATGATATGGATACATTAGTTTTTTAATCTTAGCAAGTAATGGGACAATGTAGCATCCAAGCAGAACAATAAGAGAATTTAGTACTTTAACCAAAAGTTCATGTGATTAACATTCAGATTCTATTAGAGTATGAAATTGCATTCAAAGCAAAGGTAAATAGAACTTGATTGGCCACCAAAGCCACCGCACATGAATTTAGCTTGCAGAATTCATGACCTGATCCAAAGTAAGAGAATTCACATTAGCAAAAACCAGTTCAATCATCTTGCAGAACATAAAAATGAACTGTGTAGAATAGCGAACCCGCGTCAAAAGCGAGTATACAATGGGTGATAGATGCCCCAGCTAATGTCGCAGTTGTCTCCACCAGCTAGTTGAAAACCCGGCGTTGAAAGCGAGCTCTGCAGTGCGATTCAGCAGAGCACAAAACTTAGCAAATCTATTGACATGAGATTACCAATTACAGAAGAAGAGCGATGACTAACCTGGTTAAACACTGTCAAAGCAGGAGAAGGTTTGGGCAAGAGATTTCTTGAGAAGGGAGACCTCATTAAAAAATGGAAATCTGCAAGACACAACCTATTAAGTACAAAACCAAATCAAAAAGATATAAACAAACCTAAGAAATTTGAAAAACTTACCAAAACAAAGTTCCCCTCTTGTCATCGTCGTTGCCACTGGCAAAGCTTGGATTGTCGGTGGCATATCCTTTCTTCTGCCAAAAACAAAAAACACATCAGGATCGCTAAAATCTCCCTTTCCCCTTTCATATTCGACCCTACACCTTCTTCTTCTCCCATACTCTTCCCTCCTTTTCTCAGGTGGATTCTTCTTCCTGTCGGTGTTCCTTCCTGACCTCCTCCCAGAACAAATCGCTTCCATTTTTGTGCATTCCCTTTCTAACAAAGACGACCAATACCGAGAAAGAGGAAGAATCAATGGAGACCACAAAGAAGATGTAGTTTGAATAAAGCAGTTTTGTCGAATTCTCTCAACAGTAGTGCATACATGAAGGAACTTGGGAAATCAAGTATCCCTTGTGTCATTATCGCCGCCACCGGCGCAACTCAGATGCGAATCCTTTCCCTTTTCTTCCACCGAAAGGGGGAAAATATAGCAAAACCCTTCAAATCTCCTAAAGAAAGAATCAAACCGTCAAGAAAAATCTCTTTCCGGACTTGCAGATTCGACCCAGGTGGATTCTTCTTCCTGCCGGTGTCTTTTCATGGTCAAAAACCCAAAAAAAAAAAACAAGAGTCAGAAGAAAACATAGGAAGGAATATGACCCCCCCCCCCCCCCCCCCCAAGAAGAGAGTGAACTAAAACCCAGAAAATGTAGAAACAAAAACAAAAGAAACAGGAAAACCCGACTCTGTTCTTATGTGTTCTCCTCCTCATTCTTCTTCTCCTTCTTCTTTTGTAGCCTCCTTGATCTTCATTTTCTTCTGCTTTTTCTCTGTCGTTCAACACAAAAAGGAAGAAAAGTGACTGCAGATTCACAAATATGGAAAAAAGTGAGAGAGGAATTGTGGGTGGGACGTGGTGCAAAGAAAAACAAGAAAGAGAGATGGCAAAGATCAGGAAAGGGAAAAAGCATATGTGTGAGAGAGAGAGTTTTTTGGGGGAATGAAACAGAAAAGGAGAGATGTGTAAGAGGGGAAGGAAGAAGGTAGGAGATGATGGCCATGGGCAGATGAAGGAACCAAGGAGAGAAAAAAAGAAGTGAAAGGCGGAGAGAGAAGCCGTCTCTCATGAAGGAACCAAGGAAAAAAGAGAGACCAAAGAGAGAGCAGAGAAAGAAGAGTAGTGATGGGTTGACAAAAACACTGTTAAGTCCATTAATTAGGAAGTGACTCTACCAAACAGTAAATGGTAGTTTGTTCTTTTAAAGAGATAATAATAATAATAATAATAATAATAATAATAATAATAATAATACAGACTAACTCTACGCCTAAACAAGAAGGTGGATTGAGAATCAACCTTAGACTGTGGAATCTTGCTCGCACAACGAAACATGTTTGGAATGTAGTGTTGGTCAAGAATGAACCATATATTTAGATGTTAGTAACTTTTAAGTGTTTTTGTTAGAAGGTGCTACAAGTAAAGCAGAGAGTTGTCTCTGTTTGGTATAAACCATCGTAATTACTTTGGGTTGGGTTCTCATATTGAGAATATCATACGAGCTTCAATAAAATTTTGATTAACCATAAAAAAAATGATGTGTCTTATATGATGTTGGAGTACTGTTTGTCTAACTCTATGGTTGTGTGGTATAGTTTTATGATTCATGGTTTAATTGTAAACCAAAAATTGTACCCCGACAATTTAGTGAAATGGTATCTAGTAACAGTGGTGGTTTCACCAATAGCACACTGATAGGATATTGTCACTAGAAAATATTGAACGAATTATGATATATTCTACTGTAATATTTATATACCAATATAAGACCAATTGTACCGGGTTGTACCAACGGATAGAAGCTTGTCATATATGTGTGTATTATACTTGTCTGATTGGCGCTAGGCAATTTTTATGGTCTAACCAACGACAAGGTAGATACCACAAGGTTTTATATCGTGCGATGCATGTTAATTAGATATGCCAAGCGATAAGAGAATGAGACGCACTGCAAACAAGTGATACAGTTCGATCAGAGATATAAACCAACACCTCTACGTAGGACAACAACCAAGGATGAGAGAGTTTCAAGCTATAATTTTAGAACCAGACTGGAAACTCGAGAGAATATTGATATATAACCATTGATTAGCTGTTGATATAACCATTTATGCGCTGTAACATGTAAACATATATAAAATGTTCACTAATTTGGAGCTGAGTTTATCACTAACCATAAGCAATTTCAAATTCATATCACAAAAAGAAATCATATTTTCTTATTAAATTTAAGTTAGTAATTAGAATGACAATCAATAGTGAACAACATAAAATCTCCAAAGAGGGTGGGAAACAAAGAAGAGGAAGTATAAATTTTGATAAGATGTCTTAGTTTACGTTAGAGTTTTTTATTGTGTGATTAAAATAGTGAAAAAAGGGACTAGTCAAACCATAATGATTTATCTATTTTTATGTCCAACCATTAAAAATTGTCTGGCGACCTATATCTAGCTATCGAAGAAAATAGACTAAACAACTATTTTAATTAATTTGACGATTCTACTAATCCAACCGCTCATTTGATTCTGTCCTTATAAAAAGGGTTTTAAGATGTGTAACTTTCTTATTGTTGTAACTTTAAAAATAAACAAAAAGGAAATTATGAAAAAAAATTCCATTAAAATGGCAACTTATTTTCAGAGCTAGATTGCCAAGTCGGTAAAGTTGACAGACAAAAAATACACTAAACCGAAAAAGGTCGAGGTGAGGCTACGAGAAGAGTAGGGGCATGAAAGACTTAAAGCGACAAAGTCACAGAACTATACTAGGGATGGCAAAAATATCCGTAACCGTGGATATCCGCCCGAATTCGGTCTAATCGGGTAGGGTAAAACCCAAACCCGAATACATTTAGATTTTAGTGGGTACGGGTAAAGCCTGAACCCGAATATTGCGGGTAATGGTTGGGCATGGGTTTGTCACTATCCAACCCGAACCCGCCCGATTATACACATGCATATATATTTGTCTAGAAATAATCATTATTTGTCTCTAACATATTTTATATTTAGCATATAAATATAATATTTTCATGAAATTGTATTATTTTAATTAATTTTTATCATTCTAGTGAATTATTTTCGTATTTTTCCTCTTACATAATATGAGAATACGTGTGAATGTTAACATATTGGTTGGAGTTATGAAGAGAAATTATTAACCACGGATAACCGTGGATACCCGAAATCCGAACGGGTACGGGTATGGTTTTGATTTTCTACCCATTTCACATGTGGGTATGGATATGGGTAAAACCCGAACTACTTTGGGTAGAGTAACGGATAAGCACTATCCGCACCCGACCCGACCCATTGTCATCTCTAACTATAACGTTGGCTTATAGTAATTACTTGAGTTAATGATATATATTTTTTTAGAGAAGTTAATGATATACTGGGCATATGAACTATGAAGGTGTTCTTATCATGACTCTTGTATTTTTTTTTCCAACACAGCCATTCAAACATAAACATTTTTTAGTAGTGGCTATCACTATTAAAAGATTGTTTATCTTCTATTAAACAGGGACCCAATTGCTCACTAGACACGTTATCTAGGCGTTGACTTGGTAACAAAACTCATGTAATTATAAAGTTATCCTTGTTATTTTAATCATTTTTCATTTTTTGACAAAAAATAGACCGATTATGTTGATTTTGATTGAAAATTATATGGTAAAACTCATGGAAGGGATTAGTTGGGGAGGGGTTAAGAAAATGGAGGATTTTTTTTTTTTTTTTGTAATTATGAAGACACTTTATCGGCATGAGTCTTATGCCCGTGCTTAGATAGGTTCCAATACAATGGAGACTAACAAACTTTGAACGGTAAGATCAGATTCAGGAAAAAAAATCTTTACTTTAGGGACCATAATAGAAAAATAAATAGTCATGCGGTCATGATAAAATAATATATTAAAATTCAGAGAAAAAATGCTATTAACTCTAATTAATTTGCCTATTTATACCTTCGCCTTCAAGAACTCCTTCCAAGTAAATGAAGCTTACGCTAAATTCTTGGTCACTTTGCAAATAACTTGCTTCACGAGGATCGATATGTTTTGACAATAACGTAATATAATCATTCACTTGGATGAATGTGTAATTCAATCTTGGTATGGCGCCATTGACTGGTTATACTGATCTAAATCAATCTAATTCTAGTCATCTCATTGCTAAATGAAGAAAAACTAGCTCGCACGAAGCAAGAGATGCAAATAAAATTTTCCAACTAGTCTAAACTAAACTTCCCCGATCTGGAGGTGGAATGCTCTAATAAAAATTTGTGTTATAGGTGTCACAATGAGACCATGTTTACGGTCTAATATCCTTGCATGCAGCAGGACAGTTTCATTTGCAGGATTGGTGGAAAACCTGCCTTCTTTATTTTTTTTTCCTTAAGACAATACAGTAAAAGTACGTACCATGGAAATTAAACTTTATAATATATATATTGCTTGAATCGTTAATAAGACAAACCAGAATTTGTAAATTAATCTCGAAATACAGAATTAGATATGTAGGATGAGAAAGAAGGCGATGGTGTTAGCTAAGAAGGAATTAAATAACTAAACTACATACGACCCAAAGCCAAAGCTCGCAAACGTAGCCTAGGACCAGCGGACCAGCGGCGTGACAAAGCCGGAAGAAGTACCCCTCGCATTCACACACGTGACGGCGGCCTCCTTACCAAGGTAAGTAAGCGCCACGTCATGCATCGTAATCCCGGTGCAGGGGTTGGACTTGCTGCAGTCGAACCTGACGGCGACCTGGGTGCTCGAGGTGCCACGTATGCTCTTGTACCTGATGCCACTGACCCTGACCCCGGATGCCTTGCTGGGGCAGTTCTGGCCGTGGCCGGGGCAGTAGTGCTGGTCGATGAGGATGGGGTTCTTGACGCCGTCCATGACGACGTGATGGAAGAGGACGTTGCTGACGAAACCCAAGCTGGGGCGGGCCCACGTCTTGATCCGGAGACCGTTAGTGGTGTCGCTGAGGTGGACTCTCTTGACGGTGATGTTCTCCACGCCGGGCTCCTGGAACTTCCAGCCCAGGCTCCCGATGCTGATGCCGTGGCCCGGCCCGCACGCCACTCGCTCGATCCAGACGTTGCGGGCCCCGGGGCCCATGGAGATGCAGTCGTCGCCCGTGGAGATGGTGGAGTTGAGGATCCACACCAAGCTGGATCTCTCCACGTGGATGCCGTCCGTGTTGGGGCTGCTTCCCGGGGCGGTGACCGTCACGCGCTGGAGCTTC